ATCTCGCTACAGTGCATACTACACTGAAGTATACCAAACCATAGTGTATCAGAACAGTATTATGTGGTGTGCCCCCGTTACAGTGCATACTGCATTGACGTACACCAAACCATAGTGTATCAGAACAGCATTATGTGGTGTGCCCCCGTTACAGTGCATACTGCACTGAAGTATACCAAACCATAGTGTATCAGAACAGTATTATGTGGTGTGCCCCCGTTACAGTGCATATGGCATTGAAGTATACCAAGCCATAGTATACCAGAACAGTATCATGTGGTGTGACCCGCTACAGTGCATATCACACATAGTATACCAGAACAGTATTATGTGGTGTGCTTTGCTAACTGAATTTAATAAACATGAAGATACGGCAAGATTACGTTACATTTTACTTTAGGTGTCGCAAAACGCATCTCATTAATATTTTAGCCATACTGCTAATCTGCTTAACAAAACGTCCATATAGTACTGAGAAGCTGGCGTCGGGCCAAATGTTTCGCCCATTATCTGAAGCCCTGGTGATTATTGTGCATGTGCAATATAATATCGATGTGATATCACCCAGCCCTACCCGAGATGGGTGCTGCAGGATGAGGCCATTCCTTTGGTCTCACTCAGCTTACAAGCATTCTGCCTCTGAGTGAAACGCTGTCGCTTGTGCATCCAGGCTGTGGCAGCACGTGACCAGTGCCATCATGAGCCAGGATCAGGAGCAAGCCACACAAGAGAAGTTCGTCCTGGAGGAAGCCCAGAGGCAGGAGGCCAAGGATCGGGGCGACAAGCTCTGGATCCCCCGCCTCTTCAATCTGGACCCCGTGTCCAATGAGTGGCAGTACAAATTTGCAGAGTACGTACCCTGGTAGTGAGGGTGGTCGGCATTGTGCTGGGTTTTGAGGTGCAGGTGAGCATGCTGCTTAATGCTATAGATCAACAAGGAGCCAAAACAACAGCTGGCTTCTTTAAAGTGTTGGTGATACGCTAATAAGGTACATCAGATTATGGTAATAAGGTACATTCTGGAGAATAACCATTAACCCCGGGTATGTTGCCTTGCATTCATCTTACACCTCCAACTATACACTCTTTCTGCTTCAGCACAAAGCCCTGGGACCCCAGCATCTGCCTGGTCCAGTTTGAGAAGGACGGCATGATCCAGACCAAGGAGAGGTCCCTACGCCGGCACAGTGGGCTCTCTTACAGCCAGAACTGGGCCGTTGAGCAGAAGGTAGGCATTGCTACAACCCTAACCCTTACCCTACTGAATCCAAATTGCCATATATATTAGGGGAACAAAAAGGTCTAATGAGGAAAGGACTATGATGAACTATCTAGAAATCTAATTTGCCTCAAATTCCCCCATGTATTTGATGCCTTCTTCACTATGTACGCCCCTCTTTGGTGTCGAGGAATCTCCAGCTCTGTTTAGTAATAGTTCTATTATTAGCCTGGTAAATATACCCAGAATGTTCCCATTTCAGGCCTCAGAGGCAGAGAGTGGCTTTACCGCACCAATATATGCATGTTTCTGTTGCATGGGTGATTCACAGGCCAAGGTGCAGGGTAAACACAGGAAGTCCAGCAGCCAGCCATCCAGCTGCAGCCAGAACACAGAGAGCAGCAGCACCACACCAGAACCCACGCACGAGTCCTCCGACAATGAAGGTGAGTGAGGTCTGGGGTCAAAGGTCAAAGGATAGCCGTCAATGAAGAGAATTATGGAATAGTACTTAATTGTAGTATTACCATAATGTCCTCATCAGTCATGGTAAAATTATATACTTCTTTAATTCATTATTTACAGCCTTTTTTGGCATGTGACATGTTTTGTTCGAATTGTCATTTTCATCTTGCACAGCATTTATGACCCAGTGCACCAGATGTAACAGGGAGGTGAAGGACATTGCAGATATCGAGGCCTCCATTGCGTCCATCCAGCAGACACAGCAGGACATACAGAGGTGGGTACACCCCTGTCAGGGAGCACGTCAACCCCATTCAGCATCCTGGGTGATGCCAATGAGTTGTGTCTCTCCCCCCCCCACAGCAACCTGCATGCGCTGACACAGCAGGTGCTCCAGAGGAGGCGCGCGGAGGAGAGCGCCGTGCTGGGCCGGCGTCACTGGTTCATCCTGTGCGCTTTGCTCCTCCTCCAGCTCGTCATCAACTATGCGTCCACATGAACCAGGGGCCGAGGGTGCACTGCAGCCACAACAGATGCAGACTCACACTGCTCTCGAATGCCTGTACAACAGCCCAATGCCATGGGCACCAAGCACTTTGGAGAGAGAGAGAGAGAGAGAGAGAGAGAGAGAGAAGGATGAACAATTTCAGCAAGGATGACAGGAGAGAAAATGAAAAAATAGCAAATAAATATTTTATTTTTTAAGTGTGTGGCGAGAAAATTTTAATGTCAATAGTGGACATGCACTTTTATACTCTTGCAATACTTCCTGTTTTTAGTCTGTGTCAAGGCCTCGAACCCAAAGCACTTTCATTCCTCTTTCCCTCCTGTTTAAACGTTGGGCCTTAATGCTAAAGCCAAAAAAAGTCAATAGTAGTAGAACAAACAAAAAAAATAACATGAACTTAAAATAGTGCAATTCTTAGTGTTTGTATAAATGTATGTTATGAAAAGTAGGGTATTCTCTTTTAGCAATGATGACCAAAACAGTATTTATAATCCTTAAAAAAAGAGTCCATGTTTACAAAGTTCTGTATGTATATACAACATGTGCGGTTCCCTGGAAACCGGGAACAAATCACACGCTGTTACTTAAGTATATCATGAAGCCGTAACGTACAATCAGTGGCAGAGGAGAAGGAAATGAGGTGTCTTTATCTTCGGCCAATGAGAAACTAGAGATGTGGGAGACCAGTGGCCTGTACTATGCTGGTTACTCACTTATCGAGGTTTAAGGATTTAAGGTAGTCTGTACAAAATGTCATTGAACGAATATAAAGTCTATTTAAACTGTGGTACCTTAAATCCGACAAGTTACCGCGATAAGCCAGTAACCCCGCTTCGTAGTACAGGCCACAGGAGGCCAAAGTGAGCACGTTTTCAGTGCTGCGGGGCGCTATACAGCTTCCATAGTCTTCAAATAATGTAGTGTAGGCAGTATCAAGAGGGCCCAGTTATGAGCAATATGAAGGTTAATATCCAGCTAAAACTGTCCAGGTTCATTTAGATATTCTGTGGCTTACTGTGGTACGGTATGGGGTTACCACAATCCTATCCTTCATATAGTTTAAGTAATAAGTTACTCCAAATTTGTGAAACTAGTTTTCATCACTAAGATGAACCTCAGTTACTAATAAAATATCTTACCATACATGTTTTGATAGAAAAAAAGTCACTCCATTTAAAATTCATATTTCAATCAGACTTGCACTTTTGTTGGTTTCATAATTAAATGCAATATTCTCGAGCCTGAAAAGGAGGAATAAAGATTCATTAGGGTGGGGTTTCTGAGATGCAATACCTGCAATGGCGGAACACTGCAGGAAATCGTCGACGTTGAACCACCTGATTGTTGGTGTCTTGCGCCACCTGGTGTCTTTTTCTCAGATTGCAGAGCAGCTGTCCTGTTAAAATGGACGATGCGAAGGATTATTAGGGACGATGACGTCGTTTGATAATACTTTTCGTTTTCCATTCACTTCTCCTGTCATTTATTATTTTTCTCACGAGCACATAAACTGACTTGCAATCTAGTTGCAATATCGGGAAGTAAGACGTAATGATTTCTGTGCTCAGTTATTGTATAGCACGAAATGAACAATTCACGTGTTGACTGACTGTTTATAGTAATTTTCATTGTCAGCCTACCCAGGCATGTTTTCCGCTAGCCCTGTCACACAGCTAGTAGCCTATGGTTTGTACTCGAAATAAAGCTTGTCTTGTGAATGGAAATGTATTTATTTGCACTATTCTAACATGTTCTAACACTTAAAATATTGGGTCAGTTGGAACATTACTCAAGCGAGCAAATGTAAATCACTGACATCTCGTAACATTTATGTTTCACACCATTGCAGTAAATGATGTGCACTATAAAAATGATTCCTTGTGTCTGTAATACCATACTAATTTATTGCATACTCTAAAGCTGAAATACTTTCTTAAGTGGAATTGCTAATAGTGGGTATTTTTCCACGCATGCATAGCCTGCGTAGAATTGTAACACTGGTACAGAAGATAAGTTGCTGGAATCGCCTACGATTTTTGAACATGATACGCAGCTTTGCTCCGAAGTTAATTCATTTTTTGACATTGCTTTTCTTGTGAATTGAGGATGATCTTACCCGACAGTATTAAACCTGTGTTGCAATAATCCTTGAACTGTCTACTCTAAGACGATTTGTTTTGAAAACTAGTACTACATACTGTAGCGTTTTTGAAAAATTCAGACCAATGTGCGTGGTGAATAGCAGGGGACAGTTGTTATACGGTGTTGCAACTGTATTCTGGTTGAAAACAGATAATACGTAACGCATGCATGATGAAATATGTAACAAAAGTACACTTTGTCTTTAAACACTTATTGTAAAAACCACTATGAATAATACACAGCAATTGTTCATCCTGATTGTAATACTAGACAGATGAAGGAACATTAAGTAAAACAAAACCGACTTTTTACATCTCTGGTTTTTGTGTGGGAATGCAAAATGTAAAAAGTGTTACAGTTGTACTTGGTGTAGTATGCCAAATTTGAGTAAGAAACACAATTCAGGAGAAACTCTATTATTGTTCACAATATATACTTTAATAATTTATGTAAAAACTATCATGTACAAAAGACTAATAAGATTTATTCACACTTACACAGATAATTAATTCTCTCCTGTAGCCTCTTATATGTCCCATGATCACTAGAGTCTCATGGGACCCCATTTAACATACAGCAAGAGTCAACTACCAGGCCCCCCACCATCCACACCTTTTATGTGGTATGTGAATTATACCTGTATGTCTTCCCACCCCCCTCCAAAAGACATGACCCCTGGGGACTCAAAGGCCCACGATCCAGCCCTGGCCCCCACCACTCCCTACTTTTCTGTTAGAGGTAAGACCAGTATGTGATTCTCTCACCGGAATATTCTATAACCTAATTAATAACATACATCTAAACAGTGTTTGATCAAACATATAACTTTAACAACATATTAATATGTAGTTCACTTGCATTTCCATATATTATTATTTTAATCTTAACCCTACTCTGCATTGGCTTTTCAACAAACACTATTACACAACCCAGGTCGCTAGTGAATGTTAAAGACACAAATAACCACGAATTTTCAAACTTTTTCCACTGATCACTTCTTCAGGGAATCCTGAAAATTATCTGAGCATATTAAGCATTCTTCCACAAATAAGAGTATTTAAAAAGTATTAAAATGAGTTATAAACATAGCAATGTATTATAAGAGATAGGACAATACAAATAAAGAATAATAATAAAAAAATCCTAGCAAAGTGTTCCATGATTGAGTGATTGAGTGAGTTCCATGACTGAGAGTTAACTATAAAAACTCATAATTGAATTTGAATATAAATATTAAGCTGTTCTGCACAAAGTCACATACCACTCTCTGGCTAGTCTGCATGGTGGTCACAAAACACTGTGATAGTATATAAAATTATTACAACAGTAATTATTACACTTTTATTTGACAAATCATATGATAAAATGTATATCTAACTGCTTGGTATATGGAGTTTGCTCTCACAGTCCAGCACATACACTGTAAAATGTTCAGAATCCCACGATGGACTGGCACTGTCCAGGACGTCCCCTAGTCCAGTGATTTTCAACCAATGTGCTGCAGCACACCAGTGTGCCGTGAGAGATTGTAAGGTGTACCATGGGAAATAATCCAATTTCACTTAATTGGTCTAAAAAACCATTGCCATTGTCAGGTGTCTGTGCTGTAATAGTGATGTATTCTAAACAAACAAAGCTATTTCGACATTACTCCCATTTTCCACAACATATCTGTGTGAACTTAGCTTTTCAAGCCTGACTGATACTGTATAAAAACTAAAAACAGAGAGAGACTGAGAGCTGTTGAGGAAGAGCTTCGTGTGTCTGTCTTCAATTCCTGCCAGGATATCAGCTTTGTGTTCATCCAAACCGGCTCAGGTTTCACACTGACTGAGTATAAATAAACTGAGAGACTTTTTTGTCATTACTAGGCTACAGAGTGTCATTTTGTAACATTTTTCGTTGGTGGTGTATTTTTTCAATGTAAAAAATGTGCCGTGGCTCAAAAAATGTTGAAATACACTGCTTTAGTCTGTCAGACTTCGACATAAAGCGCTATCAATTACAAAGGAGGTCGAGTATGTGCGCAGCGCGCTGTGCTATCCCCACCACGAGGGGCCGCTGCGAGTACACAAAAATCCCAACGTCTTATTTTTAGTGCTGTATTATGATTAAATTATTAACCAGTAGGCCTGTAGTTCAGGGGTCTGTCACGTTATGTTGGTATATGAGTGACTAGAAAAATATGTTAACTGCGATTTTAAGAGTTTTAAACGGTAATTCTTATCGTGTTGCCTTAGCATGTCACTTAATTACTGATAAATGTTTGCTGAAATAAGACTTTAAGGTTTGCTGAAGACGAACTTATGGAAACAACTGTACAACTAAAAAAACAAAAATAGGTATAAAAAGGTAAGCGTATGTGTGTGTAAACGGGCCGCATAAATGACAGACACGTAAATGGTGGCAGACCACGGAGAATTTCAGGAACTTTCACCTGGTCGGGATTGATGTATTTCCGCGGTAGGTGGGGGAAAAAAATTAACGTTTTTTTTTATTAATCCAATCTCAGTTTATATAAGGTAATTGCCTTATGAGTTTGATACGGGCCTGCCGTGACACTCCCGCTTTCAGACTAAAGCTCACGCAAGGAATCTTACGGAAAACTTATATTATTCCATTACTGATCTAAAATTAGTTACATCAAAAGCCTTGGGGTAGTTTGCAATCTGTACAGATTATTTACAAGGTAATAATACTCTTACATACATGTAAATGTTCGTTCAGAATTGAAAACCTCACGCCAGCCAGCTGACCACAGTTTGCAGCGCTGGTAATTAATTGATAATTGGTTAGTAGTTATAAGTAACTTAGTTGAGTTTTTATTCTGGCCTGTTCTGCCAACTTTCTTATGAACCACTTTCTGCTTTCTTCATTCCTTTTGACACCTTTGAAGAAGTTGCCGTAACTAGGCTGGTTCATCATTTTACTGTTATGGAAAGAATGCTAAGCTAAACTAAGCTAAAGTAAGGCTGTTTAATGGCCTCTGCAGACACCTTCCTCGGGTCTTGGGCAAGGGACACGTTTTTATAAATGAACATTATATTTAGCTAATGAAAAATATACATATACTGATATAATGACTCACTTTTATTAAACGTATTGAAAGGAGTTAACCGCTCCTGAGTTGGGAGGTGCAGGCAGGCTACACGAAAATGTTAAATGAATAAACATTCACATGAGCCTCAAAATATCGGCAAATTAGGCTGTAGTCAAAATGATTGAACGAAAAGAATGAAGAATGCGATAGTCTATTAAAAGAAAGCTTAATTATTAAGTTATGCTAAACTGGAAGTGGTTTATGTATGATTATGTAACAGCCTAAGATAGCTATAAATGAAGTGTGTGGTTGCAGTATTCTGTAATTAGGAGAGTAGGCAGTAATACAGGGCTGCCACCTTTCACGCACCAGGCGTGACACTCACTCTTTCAAACTCTCACGCTCACGTAAGAAATCATACAGCATATATATTATTCCATTATAAACCCAAAATTAGCTACATCAAAATCCTTGGGGTAGTTTGCAAACCCTACATACTATTTACAAAGTAATAAAACTCATACATAGAAGTAAATGCGTGTGCATGTGCGTGCAGATTTGTCTTGAATTGACAATCTCACGCCAGTCAGCTGACCAAAGTTGGCAACCCTGGTAATATCACATAAGGCACTGGCTCTGTGGTTGAGATGGGGGGGCTTGTTCTAGCAAGCATATCATGACTGTGAGTGTCACCTGTGTGAAGTGTATACTCCTATGGAAACGTAGCACTCTGTCAGCTTAGTGACAAGCCAGTGGGCGGGTCTGCAGTGTGTCTTACAGAGGTTGGCAACGGCACATCCGAATAAGCTACATTATTCTGGGCATTATTTACATAATGTTCGCCATTGCTTCTTTAGTATTCTGTGTTCCTTGTCTGTGTGCAGCCTTTGAGTTTTTAAACTAAACCCAGTTTGTGTGTAAATAGGCCGTTTTGGCCTGATGCCTCGTTGGTGCCTTAGAACCCTGCCTTTCACGGCTAGGGTCATAGTTCTACCTTCAGAGGTGTTCTGCTTTCACATGTTTTCTTTCAGTTTCCTCTAAATTACCGTATGCTTTTCAGTTTTTAACTATAGATCTGATACGAGAAACATAATCCTCGTCTCCCTTTTTCAGCCTCTGAATGAGATGCGTTTGTTGCATGTAATATGGGAAAGATTAGAGAAAAATTGATATTTATGGTGTTTGGACATTTTGTATTTGCTCATATGTCTTTGTGGTCAGTTCTAGGCCCCCAGTGTAGCATAATGTGGGATCGCGTTGCATTGTGGTTCAGACTGTAGCCAGTTAGTGCTACCTTGCACTTTTATCTGCAGTGAAGAAAGAAGCTTGATGTAATAGTGATTTTTTTTAATGGTATTTGCGAAAGTTATGGTTGGGAGTGATAAGCAGGGGTGAGGCTCGAATTCCGGGGCCCTTTGACAGAATTCTCTCTGGGCGCCTATTGCCGGCATGTTCCAGGGTCCTTGTCAACATCTGGTCTCCCTGAAACATTCAGGGCTTTATGACACCCCCAGGAATAAGGCTGGGTGTTTGCTACACAGCTGCTGTCTGGGAAGATGACAGGCCTGTGTGGAGTTCTGGCAGGTCAGCCAAGGTGAGTATCACACACCCATCGGCACTGACACCACCGACTCAAGTATCGGCTTTTCTCCATGACGACGCCAAGCATAGCAGCAGGCGTGTTGTGTGTGTGTGTGTGTGTGTGTGCGTGTGTGGTGAGGATATGTCCTGACTTGAAACCCTGTGCGGTTGGGCGCTGTCAGCCCTTGCATTTTTTTTTTCTTCTCTAAGGCCTCTCCCTGCTCCAGGGCGTTGGAGTCACACAAGGGGATGGGAAATATCCGCTGCCGCCGCCTCTCCTCTCGCAGATGAGACATGTCTGCTTTCGTTCTGGATGTTTCTGGATGTGCAATCTCGTTCATAAGGTCCCAGGAACTGGGCCCGCGTCCAGGAGCCTAAGGTTCTCCGTTAATCTGGGGTAACACTTGGGAAACACTGGTGTAGAGGTCATATCTTTTTGCTTTTCTCTGGCACATTTGAATTTTGTTGAAAGTTACAAGTTACCTATCATTTATGACTCTGATTCCTGCTTCAGATGGTCAGTTAGTAATACCTTAGCGAAGAACCTCGTATTTTTTTAGTTTATTTAATTGATTTCTGGTTCTGTATATTAGTTCTCACCAGCTTACTAAAACTCCAACAGAAAGTGATAAATCAAACTTCTAGTTGTATTTATTTTGTGTATGTGTATTTTGGGGGGTGGGGCTGATTCGGAGGGGTGTCTGCTGATATCAGAAGTGGCGTTTGATTGTAAATCAGCATTGAATCACACCGATTTCCCAGCCTATTTCCCAGGTGCTTGCTTTTCTTTTTTTTGCTCTTCTGGTGGCGTGACTGTTCTCCTCACCTGCCTCATGATTCACCGTGTCTCTCCCCTTCCGCCCCCCCCAACCTCTCCACAATTTTGTTTCACTATCCTCTCATTTTCCCCCACCCTTCCCACTCCCACTACAGGCAGCTGTTTAGGAGATGTCTCATTCTTACATGCCTTTGATTTTTTTTTCTTTTTTCACTCTGAGGTAATTTGATTGGTTGCTCATAGTTTCTGGGTCCCTCCCACTTTGTAATAATTGAAGTTCCTGTAGTGTCCACGGCTTTTGGCTATAAAGTAGCAAAATTAAATGCCCTTCTCTCCTGTTATCGTTGCCCTCTCCTGTTTCCCCTTTGCAGTTGCTGCAGACGACAGCTGCTTTCAGGCTCTGGGGTAATTACCGTGGTATGGGAGCACAGCTGATGGGCCGGATGTACATATATATCGCAGTTTCTCCAGTGTGGGAGGTGAAGTGGGCTGCGAGTGGGCGTGCGGGGCGGGGGGTTCCGTCATGGCGCTGCACAGCTGGCCGGAGCAGCACTTACCTCCCCGACAGTCGTGGGGCCGCCCTTCCTTTCGGCCCAAATCAGCAATGCAGAGTCTGTTCCTACGGGTCGGCCCTGGTCTGGTTGCCATGGAGCCCGGAGCTGTGGAACCACCCAGGAAGATTTTAGCCTACAAAGAGGACAGTCATGGCTATACAAAGCCTCTAGATAAATAAGGGTATAGTGTGTTCCCTGAGGTAAAATGTTATTTCTGAGTTTCCTCTGGTCTGGAATGTGCTTCTGCCAGAAAGCCGAAAATTCCACCAAGGCGCTTCCAACCCCCCCCCCCCCCCCCCCATGAATTAGTGGCAAATGGTTCTGCTTCCTTTGTGGTAACCTGAGACCAGAGTTTAATCGTGAGCTGAGACATTCCTATTGGCAAGGTAATAATGATGGCTCAGGAAGGACAGTGACCTTTAGCTTTTGCCAGCGGCTGCCTGAAAAGGAGGCCTAAATAAGGAAAATCAAAGACATCTTTAATGCTGCCTCTGCCTTCTTGGGTGCCTGTTCGACTGGCGATTCAGGTTGACTTATTCATGGTCCTTCAGGGTGTAGGAAGTTGTGTAGGAAGTGGCCACCCTTTGATGAGTGAAGTACAGCAGAACTTCCACAGCCCTAGGAGACGACGGGATGAATGCATCCGTAGGCGCTGAGAGAGCCCTTTGTTCTGCTGACCTCTGCACTCAGCGCCGATGGCCCAACAAAAGCCGCAGGCGCTTTCTGTCATCCACAGTCATGCTCACCAGGGTTAGTGGCCTTTAGGAGCAAGCAATCCTGGTTTTCTGGCATTCTGTCCAGTGGGGCACGAGTTCTCCGGCGCTCCCTGCCCAGTGAAGTACGAGTGGGCTTCTGGGGCCTCTGCTCCTGGCCTCCCAGCCAGCAAGAGCGACTCCCTATGAACGGGGATCGACCGGGGGAGTGTTTAAAATAGCACATCTCACTTGACGTTTGTCAGAAACGTCGGCACGGCATTTTGTTAAGTTTCAGGAGCTCCGAGCCCGACTGAGGGGCAGCATGGATGCCGCCTGTATGTACACAAAGGCGCATGTTCTTCAGCCACACAGCGCCACATAGTCCGCTGCGATAGGCAGATATCCCGGCGCAGCGGAGGCGGCCCACGCAGTCCCCTCCACCCCTGGATTCCACTGGACCCATGTGGAGGGGCCGGTCTGTGAAGGCGGCTCCGGTGACTCATCAGTCAGGCATGTCCCTCTCCGCGTTGACGCTTGTGGCCCCCGCTCCCAAGAACGGGGCTCTGTTCCTCAGCACCGGAGGCAGGAAGGCCATCTGCTGTGAAAGGCCAGCTTGTGTGCTCCTACGTCTGTCTGTGTCTGTATGTGCGCGTATACAGTGTCTTATGTTGGCTGTACTGTGCTGTTCCATGTGGTATGAGATATGTACTGTACGTGCTACCCTTTTGTGTAGATTTGTGTGTGAGCTTGGGCACATACACTCTAGATAATGTCTGACAATCTGCTGCTACTCCGGATTCTGCTCTGTTTATATTGCCCAACAATCCAAAGTCGTGTGAGTGTGTGTGTGCGTGAGTGAGTCATATTTAATTACATCGTGGAGACCAAATATCCCCACAATGTTATAAAACCTGTTATTTTAACCTTGTGGGGACATTTTTTTTTGGTCCCCACAAGGGGAAACTCAGTTTTATAAAAATCTGTGACCGCAATCAAGAAATCTATCTACAAAAAGTATTGTATTTTGTTTGGTTACTTATGGTAAATGTTGGGGCTGGGTAGGAGGTACGGTTGCCGTAGTTGGAATTAGGGTTATGTGTACATTAATGAGAGTCCCCACAAAGATATAGATACCTAGCCTGTGTGTTTTTTGCTGGTCTGATTCCCAGGCCTGTCTGGGACAGAAGCAGACAGGTGTGTGTTACTGGACACATTAAACCATGCAGAGCCTCTGTATCTTTTTATGTCTTTAAGTTTTTGAGACATAAAATACACTGATTACAGCGCAACACATTTTGATAATACATGTTTGGTTTGCATACACAGACGTCGATTCCAGAGGAAGCGGATGCTGTGAACTGCCCGTGCAAACAGTGAAACATGACCCATGTTTGTCTCGGAGTGGTTACTGTTCTCATTCCCAATGTCAAACATTCCCTATGGAATGGCAGTCTCGTTATAGTCTTGACCCTGAGGTTAATAAATAACAAACAATAATCCTCACAGCCTGAAATACAGTTTTATCTTTATGTTCGTTCTCTCCACACATCTCTTCTGACCAGCTCACGAGGTCTTTGTCCAATTCATTTCAGCAAATAAGGGCACGCTTTGTGGCAAGACTGGCATTTCAGAGAAGTAGGAGGATGGGAGTAGCCATATTTTAAATTATTTTTAGAACTTTTACAGCATAAAGGAGCCTCTTTCCCCCCCTAATTTGGCTAAGGCACCAGTCAGACTGTGTTTTGACTTGGGAGTGAGTAATTCTGTGTACTGAGGGAACATACACACACTCACACGCAGAGACCCGCCCAAAAACCTGGGCTAGCTTTGGGGTGGGTTGAAAGGCCTCTTGGCTCTGCTGAGGGCGAGTATGATCCTGACCTCGGGATCTGCGTCACGCTTATCTGATGGGGCCCTGCTAATCTGTCCCATGAGTGTCTGACTTTTTTCTTTTCAAACCCTAATAACAGACTTCCTTTCGGTCTGGCCATGTGTGACACACGATTCTGCACTATATGTGAATAAATGTTGATGTTGGGGTGGCTTTTACACACATTGTGTTGCCTCATGTTTACGTGAATGTGTGGTGCAGTGTTGACCTTCTCCTCAGTCTATGTTCTACCTACGTCAGATGGAGAAGGTTTCTCCACAGTCGTGCTCCAGGTGCCGCTCACTGCGTCATCTCCAGGGAGCCTGCTGTTTGGGACAAAAGCGGCTCGTCCAAGTCTAAGCAGATGGCCTCCCATGAAGGACCAGCCATATTCTTTTGACAGTGTGTTCAGCTGGTCTTGAGGAAAGTTGGAAAAAAATCACAATGACATACAAGAGTCTCAGATCTTTGTGTGCTTATTTTAACATTTCTCCATATTATCTTTTTGTCATAGTTTGTCTGCATCCAAAGTAACTATTCAAGGGAGATTCCACGGCAATATTTAATGATTTTTCTATACTTTGTTTTCAGTGGTAGTAATTAAGATCAAATAATACCCATTTTCTGATGAAGGATTAATAGCATTTATGAGTTCATGAGTAAAATAGATGTTTATCTGTTTTATTTCCCTGACTTGACAAATATCTGTGGTATTTTGGTACAGTCCTCACAAACAGGGGTGCAGCTAGAGATTTTGGACCTTATGAAAGCATATCATACTGGCAGACCAATCCAGTTATGTTTCAAATTTTTTAGGGCCCCAGTCACTCAGAGACCCTTGGACTCGCCCTAAATTCCCCTCCGTTACGGTGCCCCTGCTCACATAGGCATCTTCCTACATTCCCAAGAAATTCCCAGGTAAGCTCCAGGAAGCCACTGGGTGAAACCACTAAATCAGAATCAGAAGACAATTAATCCCGGAGGAAATTGCTCACATTATGACTGCACAATCACACATAGACACCAAGACAAGAACAATACAGAAAAAGTATCAAAATAGGAATGAAGTGGTAAGCTAACAAAAAAAACCTTTGTCCAAAACTTGCAAGTACATTGCACAGTAAAGTTATATACTTGTAACTGTAACTTTTGGATAAATGTACTTTTAAATTTTCCTGTACAGAGATTTTTTATTTTAATTTTATTTTATTAGAATGTTTAACAGAGGACTCTAATTTGTTAGCTTACACTTAATTCCTATTTTTATACTTATAGTGGAATATTGTTATGAAATCGATATTTTATGCGAGATTTATGATGCCTACTGATGTCAGATTTTTTTTTTTAAAGCAAAGGACTGTCTCCATTTAAGATCTCTAATATAATTTCCATGATTTATAACAGGAAGGGTGGCGGAATTTTTGCTATAATTTCTGTATGGAATTCCCCTCTCGTGTAGAATGTATTAGGAAATAATCGCCCCATGTCTCCAATCTGGTTTCCCAATTACCAGTTCCAAATCTGGTTTCCCAACCCAACCACTAAAGGACATGTGGATATGTGTGATTAAGCAGAAATGACAGAAGATTATCAAAGGCCGACCTTCACATTCCTTACTCAGGGTCCAAGCGCCAGCGCTGTGGTGCCTTCAAGTTGGAGGGTCAGGATCACAGAGACCATATTCCCGGTATCTCTGGATGGTTCCTAATGTAGAGTCCATTGTTCTCTTATTAAAATCCTCTATGCACGGTCTTGTAGGGATCAGGGGTGTCACTGCTTCTCAGTAATTTGTTAATGTTGCTGCAGTTTTGTTCCCCGTACCTAAATAAAATATCTTAATGAACTACCTATAAACATTTGAACCAAAGCAGCTCTTCCCCACTATAACTCTTCTTGTTTCTTCACTGCTTGGACTATATGTCTGCGTATAGGTTAAAATGTGCATGTATGTTTGTTCTGTAGTTGTGGTCTGTAGTCTTGGGCAGGCCTATGCACAGCCTTAGGGAGCTGGATCAAAGGTTATAAGCAGAGGGTACCGGCGTGATAACGGAACTCCTTTGAAGGTATGCTGAAGTCAATCCCTTTGATTGTCTGTAACTTCAGCTGCTATAATGACAGACAGCCTGCTTGTTAATCTTAGATAATGGCAGCGGAGGTGAAGAATCGGCTTGACTGAAGTACAGTTTTTGCACCTCAGCCCCAGGCACGATAAAGTCAGGA